ACACTGCCTACCTGAAGATGAAACCGGTCCATGTCCCTCTCGGAGACCATACTCCGCAGGATGGCTATTTCTTCCCTCAAAGTCCCATTGGTCCTTTCACTCTTGACAAGGGCAAGACTCAGTGCTTGTGTCTTCTCTTTCCATTCAATTTCTTCGCTTTCATTCTGCTTCAAAATAGCAATCACATGCTCTAATTGTTCCCCCTTTGCTTTCAGCTCATCTGCCAGTTGTTGGCTTAGCGCATTCTGCTTTTTCAAGAGGTGGTCTCTCTCCTGAAGAACTCTCTTCTCTGCTTCCTCGTCCCATTTTTGGAGTTTCTGTATTTGTTTCTTTAGGGTTTCCTTATCATCTTTCCATCGCAAAACTGATGTTAATTGTTTTAGGAGTTCACTCTGCCTCCTAAGCTCTTGTTCTCTCCCTGTCAGAGTCTTCTCTAAATACCTGATTCTGTCTTCCTGGCATTTCATCTCTTCATCCTTCTTTGTCAGAGTCTGTTGAATCTGCTGGTAAGCTTCCTGAAGATGTCTTATTTCCTCTTCTAACTCTTTTTGCTCACCTTGAGCCTTGGTCTCTCGTTCTCTCTCAGGTAAGGCTTCTTCCAGGAGCTTCTCTTGCTCTCTGTGGTGTCTAACTTCTTCATTCTTCTCGGTTAGCTTAAGCTGGAGACTCCGCAAGGTCTTCAGTTCTTCTTGATGCTGGAGTTTTTGCATAAGAATTTCATTGTCCTCATCTCTCTTCCTCACCATTTCCTCAAGCAGATTCACTTGCTTCTGGCATGCCATTAGGGCTTCTTTCATGCTTTCTTCACGAAGCTCGAACACATTAATTTGCTCTGTCTGCCTGAGGAGTTCCAAATGGTTCTTTTCTGCTATTTGGCTCATTTTGTCTAGATCCTGCTGTATATTCTTGGCCTGCTGGCCTTCGAACTCCTTCTGCTCTCGAAGGTCCTGGACATGCTCTTGCAAAGACACTATCTCTTGATCTCTAGCTTGCAGAGAAGATTCAGTGTATTCCAGTTTCTGCAGCATGGCTTTAGTCTGCATTGCTGCCTCCTCCTTGTGCTGCTGAAGCTTAGAGATAGCCTCCTCCAGAACCTCTATATTCTTTTCTCTTTCTTTCAAAGTCAGTTTTGTTGCCTGAAGGCTTCTTTGCTCAGCTTCATGCTTTTTCTCTTTTTCCTTGCATGCCTCACATTGCTTTCTAAGGGATAAAATTTCTTGCTCTCGTT